TCAATAGAGCAGGTGTCGTTCTCGTAGCCACCAAGCTCACCTCTTCTCTCTCTTTGCTTTGTTCGACCGGTTGGCTGTGCTTCGCCGGCGGATTGTTCCTGGCTGAGGAACGATGAGTCTTGCAACACCGCCGTTGTTGCTTCTTCGTCGGGTCGGAGTTGGTGTTGCTAGCTTCAGTGTGGTCTGGCACTTCGATCATGGTCCGCTCCCGCTCCCGAACACTATTGCGAGGTGGATAAGGGTTCCTTCCTGCTAGTTCCTCCTGGTTGTGATACCGGCACTGACTGTTGTGGGGCGCCGAGGGGGCTTGTCTTGAGTTCGCACATCGGGCCTCGAGCTGGTTTTTGTCTCTCCATAACCCATTTTTCTCCAACAGCGAATGCTACTGCTGATTGGCCCTATCAAACTAGCTGACTTTGGGCTTCTCCTTCGGGTTCCCCCTTTGAGAGACTGGGGGAGTGTGTTGTCCATCCGTCCTACCCTAAGGTGGGGTCTGGCCCCTAGAAGGGACTGGTACCTACGAGGTCCTCTCACCCCAATGGGGAGATCGGTGGACTCTCTGGTGGGTCCTGTGTTGGTGTTAATTCTGGTTCAGATGATTTTGATTCTGCCCCTGGTACTGATCTGCATGCTAAGGCAGAATTTGTTGTTGGTTTGGCTGCAACGGTGGAAACTGCTACTGGTACTACTGGTAGAAATAGTATTGCTGGAACTGATGGAACTGGTGAATCTGTAGCATCTGGATTTGCATCGTCCAAACGCTCTGAATGAGGTCATTAAACTGGGAATGCCCAACCCCAGGGGGATCATAGAGGGCTTCGAGAAGGTGGTGCTCACTTGGGGGAGCGAGACGTTCACCTATAGGGCGGTCTGTGGCACAAACAGTGATGGGACCCCCAAAGCTATGAGGGGGACGGTGAACTGACCGATGGTCACCGAGGAACCTTGGGGGAGAGTTGTTTGTTGATCTTGCCCCTCGGTGATGTTCATGTCAATACCTTTTCCGATGTTACTGGAAGAGGCCATTGAGAGTGAGATTGAGATTGAGACTAAGACTGAGATTGAGATTGAAATGACCTTCCGATCGTTTCCCACAGACAGCTTCAATTGATTGTGCACAATCTAGATGCTCCTAGCTGGAAGATGATATGGAAGCTAGTTGCGTAGTGAGCTGGTTCGAACTACAAGAAAACATATCAGAGAACCCGGGGTGGTTAACCCGGCGAGGTTGCTCCGATGCTTAAGTCAGTATTGTGTTGTCTTGGTTGCAAGCTGAAAGCTTGAGTGTAAAGAGAGCTAGTGAGCAAATAATTGCACGTACCTGGGTCTTGGGGATTGATGTCCTTATATAGTTGAGTTGCCATGCATCTCATGAAACGTCTCTGGGATCCTCGGCCCGCATAGTTGGAATCCGTTCCGCTTCAGAAGGAGAGTAACGTACCAATCAATGAAGTCTATCGTTACCTTCTAATCCGGGCGGGGAGAGGATAAGGCCTACGATTACGTGGTGTGATCCCGAAAAGTTTGGAGTCTGTTGAGAAGCTTCTATAGTCAATTATGTGGCACTTCGGTACACGGGTGCCGAAGTGACTTTTGGTTCCGTGGTGCTCAAACACCCGAGCTCTTGATCTATTGACAAGGCTCTCTTCGTTGAATTATCATCCTGTTGACAGGCCACGTCCTCGTGTCCTTCACTTATTAGGTCGGGTAAAATTACCCCTCATCACTTGTTAAGTATATATTAATATATGGCTCAAATCTAAATTGCAAGACCAAGTTATCGTAGGTCTGTACGTAGAGTCCATTTTCAATATACCCGGTTACTCTTGAGCCCAAATCACTAATATACACCCTTGAATCTTTTTATAGTCGAACCACATAAAAGTTTTTGTGATTGGAAAGTCTAACGAAAATATAAAATAACGAGTTCATAATCCAAAGCTGATCAACCACTTCAAGTCTCAATCAAAGCTGACCTCGATAGGTGTTTGATTAATATGCATAAGTTGACATTAAATCCGGATTGGATTTTAAATGGATTCAATCTCCCTCCCTCTCTTTAAAGCTTTTCAGCTTAGTACATTGGATAGAGAAAATCTGGAATAAGTGAATAACCATGTATGGGTACGCTGGATGGACAAGGCATACTTGGCTTAAGAGTGAGTATTTGATTTATTTAGTTAAGAATCGAACAAAATAAACCAAAGCCGAATTACCCAAAATTTTAAGGAGAATCGAATCAAAATCATTATAAGGCCAAGTTATGTGGGTGTTTGGTAGTATAGTATAATGCGTCTGTTGCGTCAATGAATGATACCTCACTGCTACATAGGTAATTATGCTTAAATCTTGTTTGGTAGGCTTACGTTTTATTACCTCGGGCATGTGAAATTCATTTTTAGAGGATTCCATTTTTGTGTTTCCGTGATTCTGTATTTCATGCCCAAAAAGGGATTTTTTTAGAGATCACATCTCTGCCCTACAGCATATTCCTGCCGTATATTGAGAACATTTCCCAATGATGATATCATCAGGACTGATATTATCATCAAGAGATATTCCCAATACATGGCGAGAATGTGCTGTGGGGTGTTGTGGGGCGACTCCTGGTCCTGGTGGTGAACTCATTTTTTTATTTCCAATGTATAAACAAAATATGGATACAAACACCATGATACCAAACTTTGCCACTGTTTATATTGTTGGACGCTAGAATGTTATCTACTACTTATCTTCGAAATCGCTAACTGTTTTGTCGAAAGTTGGAAGTGAGAGCGCAAGACAAAGGAGGAAATGGCGATTGTGTGTTGCATTCCAGCTCCAGGTCCAGCATTGCCAAACCGGGATAAGGCAAGGTTAATTTAAGGCTTAGCTGAAAAGAAAAACAAAACAGAACAAAAGAACTCAAACCATGGCGTGTGATGCTGTCCGAGTTAAGGTGGACAAGTAGCACATGAATTTGTGTATCGAGTTGGACGAGTATACCAAACAACAAAAATCTATGAATACAAAAAGTCAGAAGCCTCAAGGTATGGAAAAAATGAACTCAAACCTTCAGTGAATAGCACTCTAACACTCAAGTCAATGGAAAAAATGAAGTGGTCGATTAAGCGAAACTGTTAGAACAAACTCGTTGTAGTCATGCAAATGAACAATTGAGTAGAAGGGCAAAAGAGCAGGAGAGTTCTTAATACTTCGGAGAGTATGAAAGAGATTTACTTGGGCAGTGACCTTAAATGCTTGATGGGCAGTGGTGTTGTGCTCCTCGCCACTGATGGGATGGGATGTGTTGTGTTGAGCTACACGTCACAAGACGAGGAGTTCGGAAATTGTTTATGCCGATCTCATCGAAGTGGGGGTCTGTTTGACATTTACTATGTCTCCTGAGTCCAAATTCCTGCCCACATTTATCACAGCCTCACATAGAAAATATCTCGGGAGATGTTCCCAATTCACAGGTAGTAATGTGTTGTGGGTAAACATGAGCAGAATTCTCGTGGGCATCCTTTCGTCCAAGGCTCGCATTGTTCGTCAAGTTACTGGTCAATAGGCCAAATGGGAGCTCACCACACCGGTGGGCCTTGCTCGACCAGGTGTTGAGCAGCTGTCAGTCCTCATCTCGACCGTGTCCAACACTCCTATACGTCCACATGGCCATCAACTCGGAGCTCAATTTTCACCCTCATCAACGGGCATATCATCAGCCGTGAAAAACTCAAGCAAGCCCCCCTCCGGAGACTGCACATAGTTTGCATGGTGGAAGGCGCAACAGCCGGCAGGGAATGAAGGAAGCAGATACCAACCGAAATAGATAGATTGAAAACGCTCGGAGACCACGTATTCTGTATAACTGATAATGCTGGCCCAAAGAGTTTATTTCTGATCAAAGTACAGAGTACCCTGATGTCGTAAATGAAAGTTAAGACCATTGAGATCGGCTTCAGTCGGTGCAAGGCCCGTTCAAACAGCCTTTACAGCCTTGCATCAAGAACATCTCCATATATTCTTTATTTCATGAGGAGATATTCCTAATACAGAGCTATAACAAGTGATTGAACGGACTTTACACTGACTGAACCCGATTTCATTAAGTGCAACCACCCCCACCAAAGTACAGATGCCATCGGTAATTTTTCATTTTTCTTTTCGTTAGCCGAATCATCCTCCCAGGCCCCAGCCACAGCGAACACTTGGAAATCTGAATTGTATTTTGTAAGACCAAGTTATGATGGAATGTACCTAGATAGAGGCCATCATTTTCAATACACCCGGTAATTCTTGAGCCAAAATGAGCAGTATACATTACAAGTGATCATGGCCCATGGACTAGAACCAGGCCGGTCCGGGCCGGGTTTACCACCTATGATAAGAGAGATAGCCTAGGTCCTGGCCCGGGTCTGTACTGGGCCCTAAGTATTGCAGGTTGGGGCAAGCCAGTTTCTGGGCCGGGCTAAGAATGATCACCTCTAGTATACACCCTTGGATCTCTTTACAATCTAACCACCTAAATAATTTCAGTTTGGAAAGGGTAACCAAAATACAATATAATGAGTTCATAATCCAAAGCTGACCATTAAATGGATCTCCGTATGTGTATGATAAATATGCGTAGGTGATGAGTTAACTACTGCGAACTAGCCAACCAAGGACCAATATCTGACAACTGGTCCCAAGCCTGCTTCGCAGTTAAAGGAGCACTTTCTGGTGTCAAGGGCACATGTCTTCTGAACACAGGTTTAAGTGTTTTAACACCTTCTGTTCGGAGTTACTTTGGAAGTTGGAACTAGGTTCAAGTGTTTAACACCTCAATGGCTGGTTTCAACGCTGGCTTTGCGGGGAAAGAACACCATGGATCATATATATTGGTGGTAATATCATATATATTTTACTTCAGCAAATTGTTGATGAAAATGGTGATCATGTTTTCCTGTTTGATAAAAATAACAATATTATAGCTGTAAGGTTTTAATGGTTCTAAAATAGGCTGTTACCTACAACAATAACAGGAATAAAGATTAGAGATAAGAGAAATATAGTCATTATTTACATAGTAACGTTAAACAGTCACTGCTGTTGTAAGAACAACGATAACAATCCCCTAAAACCTAATCTAATTAACTGATAGAAAAAGGAACATGAAACATATCAGTAAATAAAGTGATTAACTATACCAGTATGTTCAGAGTAAGGAATATGATATATAAGATGTGACAAATCTATAAGCCAAGTTGCTGTCGTCGATCTGAGATTCTGAAGCCCTCGGAGCATATCTGATGATCAATTTGCATCTCTCCATTCCTTTCAACCTTACAGCATCAAATTCTCTCGGGCATTCTTTGTATACATCATTGCAAACTTAAACCCATCTGCAACCTTACTACAGCAAAAGGCCAAGATACTAAAGAAGACACCATCAGTCCCTAGGGCGTGCCAACCATAACGAACTTAGTGCCCGCAGCCGTGAAAAGTAATCACTAATCACAAGCAGGGCACGGGCTGCTTGGCGGGTGGTCAATATACGATGCATTTGTTGCAGAGTCTGCTGTCGTAGGAGGTCAGCCTAAGAACAAAAGCATAGGTTAAAGCTAACTCAAAATTTTGAAATCCCTCCCCAATTTGACTAAAATTCTAGTGCAAAGTATTACCCCAAAATTGACTTAAAAAAAGTGATGCATCAAACGCTAAAAATTGCTGCAAGTCAAAATGATATCCAGATATTCTCAAAAAACCATGAGATCTTTAAACCCTGGATATATTGGGGGCACAAATGGATATCCAAGGCTAACATGTACAAGAAACACTGGACATCCTTACCTGGTGAAGGAAGTTTTCCAGTGTTCCAAGCTTGCCCATTGCAAGTGCCATCTGGCCCATGTAATCAGCAACATTTCCAGAACCAGAAGGACCAAGAGAACCAGATGATAGGGTTTCTGCAAGAGATTGTTGCAAAGCTTCCATCCCTTGAGACAAGGCATCCTCAGCTTGTTGGGAAGATTGCTGCAAATTACATATGCCCATCAACTGCTGATCTGTTAATGGTTCTAGATGGTTCCCAAGAATCTGAAACTCAATAGCATGCATAAATGAATCAATTAAAAAAAACAATTACTCCACAAGCTATAATTCAAGAACAGAGAATTGGATTGAAAACAGATACAGCCTGTATCACCTTGAGAAGTTCAGATGAACGGAAGCCCCCCAACCACATAAAACACCTCTCCGCAGGTGTCTTCCACATGCCTGAGAGCATGTGGAATACATCAGACTTTGCACCTATACTTTTTAGCCTGAATAATTCATCATAATGAGTCATAACATTATCAACAAGAAGGCGAAGGTCATTATCACCCACACTAGAGTTCACAGCTGTTCTCAAATCATTTATATGCCTCTGATGCTCATCAAGCCACCGTGCATATTCCATATCGAATGCTAAAGCCCCTGAAAGTATTATTAAAAACTACATGACCAAAACATCTTTCTTGATTACAAAACAAACATTATCTCGTATGTGCATGGAAAAAAATCGTAGAATCATAGAACAGGCTAATTAAGAAAACATGGTAATCTTTTGATTCTTTTCTGTCCATGTTAGCATATGTACATAAGCTGTCTATATATGCAGGGGAAAATGAACAGTACATAACCTTCAATATGGAAGCAATGTCACTGCTCTTAAAATCTTTTTTTTATCTACATTAGCATGCATAAGGAACAAATGTGGACTGAAAAGGCTGAATAATAGAAAATACTTGCTCAAGTAATGTCTAGATTGTGTAATCTTAATATTTGTTATAGGTGACTAAGTAACCTGTCTAATAATACTAAAATCAAGTCAAGCAAGTAGGTTGACCAGCAGCACATGTGAGACAATTGTCTCAACTCTCAATGGTTCCAGTTGGGTTCCAAATAACACAAGTGACTTTGAATATAATCTCCCTTGCATCCAAAATCAGTTTTTCCCTAGCATTCCAATTCCAGTTTGATTTCTATTATGGAGTCCCAAACAGGCAGGCAATAACAACACAAAGCTCATTCAAGCCTTAGGCTTGTAATTCAAGCTCATCCAAACTTGGCCCGACAAGCATGAGAACATTGGTTTGAGTCTGAGAGTGGCCACTTGTGCAAAAATATTGCACCCACCCTACCCAACAACCCAGGTAGACAGAACCAAAATTACATAATGTCTCCTTCATTGTTGTTATTAAATTCTAAGCAATCCGTGGAACATACTTGTTTACTACTTATTTGAGTCTGTATGCTTAAGGTTGGATCTGTATCCATCTACCCCACCCAACACCCCAGATAGACAGAACCAAAATTACATAATGTCCCCCTTCATTTTGTTATTAAACTCTAAACAATCCATGGAACATACTTTTTACTACTTATTCGGCCAGACTGTAAATTTAGGCCCTATTAGCGAACAGGCCTTGGCGAATGGAGCTTGAGCCAGCTGATTTATTAGGCAGATTAGTTTGAGCAACTAACCACTAGAAACTAGGAAGTGAAACTGGAGCCTGAATAATAAACTGTTTAGTTATATACCATTTCCACCTGCTGAATGGCTTTGGTCTCCTGAATATCCATTTGCAATAAAAATACCCTGAGCCAAGAGGAACCAAAGAATCATAGACAGGATATATCGATCATTTGATGTGTATACAAAAACAAGAGGAACCAAATTACCTCAAATCATACCTGCTGTCGTGCTCGCTGAATCTCTTGCTCTAGCTGAGTGAGCTTCAACCTGCTACTCTCCAGTTGCTGAACATATGCCTATCCAAAAACAAGATATATTGGCCCAAATATATTTTCTCACGCCATTCAAGAGACCCTAAATCTTCTTTTGATCAATCAGAAATCCTAAATCTAAAAGCAACAGAGAGCATTAAAAAGAACCTTAATTATATGGAGATACTAGTAATGGCAGAACAGGAATCCTGTGGCTGACAACAAATATTGTGAGAAAGGCCTTGTTGAGTGGAGCTCAGTATATGGAGATACTAGAAAAGTATACTACCAGTCAGTGACATACTTTAATATCCAGTTACAATTTTTGGCACTGCTAAAGTAACATGACAATCACTGGAAAAGAAAAAATAGGGTCCTTGAACAAGGAAACAAGGTTTTTTAATGGTTTCACAGCTAGAAAGTAAAACATTGAAACCAATAACTATCTATAAAGCTAGTTGTACGATAAGAACTCTAGTTGTACAAATTGTTAAAGAAATGAAGTCAGAAGACCAAAACAACCATAATCATCTAATTCCATATGGAGAAGGGAACGTTTCAAGAGGCAATTTTGCTTTGCATATTTCCAAGGTCGAATAATCACCAAATAAGCATAAATACAATTCAGTACCAGAGCAGTAATAAGAGAAGCACTTCAAACTCTGTTAGAAGCTCAAGAATTAAGTAATTGAGGCACAAATGGGACAAAAGAAAGCTTGGCATGGGCATAGATATAAATGAAAAAAATTTAAGCAAACATTTAGTGAGTAAAACTGGCAAACAATGCAGGCAATCAGGAGATGATAACCAATTTATCACAAGAAAGTTACCCACAGGTTTTGGGTCAGATTAGCTCTCTGTCCATCTTCCGAAGATTAACATCAACTCAAGGTCTACTCAAGATGATAAAAAATAAATAAAAAAAAACATTTTTTGACATTCTTTTCTTTTATTTTGTTGTAATTTTGGACATGAGAAAGCCCGTTAAACAAGCTTCAGCAACCACATAGAGGGAGAAAAAAAATTAAGAACAAAAGAATGATTTGAAAAATGCAAACACTAGGCTAAGAATGACTGAAAATGTCTACACCAAAAAGAAGTGTTATTTAGTAAATATCATCAAAAGCAATATCTAGCCCCAAACCAATGAGACAAGCTTCAGCAACCAAATCAAAACAAGAGAGAAAATGCCAATAAAAACACACAACTTGAAAATCAACCTCTGCTAAGCCTGAAAACTTCCCATACATAAAATTCCCCAGAGAAATATGAAATGCAAATTGTGCACTATTAAAGGATAAGGATAAATATAGAGAACTTTACCCAGCATAACTTATGACATAGAGATGGACAAAAAAAGAGTTGCGATTGGAGGTAAGTTCCACATGGAGACTGATACTAAGACCATATATATTTCGAGAAAGCACTCACATATTACCAAAAAAAGCACTTGCAAAGAACTGAAGAGGCCATCAACAAGTGGAAAAATATACAACCTTTATTCCTAACCTTTCCTTTTCCAGTCTAGAATTTCATAAAGTCAACTAGAAGAATATCAAAAAACAGTTACAGCAAGAAAACTGTATGCCATCCAGAAGCCAAAACACACATGTAAAAGGTGAATACAAATACACATATAGAAGAAAAAATAATTAAGTGCAATAATAATAGACCAAACAGAAGCATAAAAACTATATAGAGCGGCAACAATAGGCCAGATAACTTCATAGAAATACTAGGAATGCCAATGCTACATGATGACTATCTTATTCTACATTGAACTTGAGATCAAAGCCCAGGGCGAAGCCAGGATTCTTTTCTTGAGGGGGATCAAAAATTAATAAACATTGATTGGGGATAAAAGTTAATAAACATGGGTAGATGGGCCAAAATATAAGTGGGATGTAAATAGAAATTTAGGGATTTTAAAGGCAGGGAGGCATGGCTCCCCTCCGCCATCCCCTGGTTCTGCCCCTGCTCAAAGCCAAATATTGTAAAAAGTTGGATAATGGGATTGGAAACATGCATCATGTCTATGTGTCCTAAACACCATGTTCTTTCATAATCACACAATCATCCATTTATTCCACAACATAATTATATGCAACAAAAAGAGGTAGCATGATGCCTAACAATACTAATCAAAAGCCAAAGAGAAAATCTAGAAAACAGAACTTAAAAGCTACATAATATACTATGAAAACTCAATTTTGCATCTCTATATTGACAGTTATACATCCTAGGACCAAAACCCAAAAAAAACGACTGAATTGCCAGAATCCATGATCTGTTTACAAGAAAAGGAAGGGGGAAGAAAGAAAACCTAAAGCATATTTGGATTGATAACTGTATGTCCTTCAATCAAAATTGAAACAAAACTAAAAATGATATAAATCTCAAAATTCATGGTGTATTTACAGAAGGGAGTGAAAAAGAAATCCGGATATGCTTACTTTCTTCCTTAGACGGCTTTTCCGTGCTGCTTCACGATTCTGAGCCAATCTACGAAGTGTCTACAAGGAAGACCAAATAATAACTAAATATGCAAATAAAAATTAGAATGCCAAATTACAAAATGAATCACATGTTGACATGAAAGCACCAACCTTCTGATCGGATTTGGTCTTTGATCTGTCTGTAGAATCCACAGACACCAGTGCTCCTTGCTGAACACCTCGAAACTAAAAACGTAGCAAAACCCACGTAAGGATTTTAATGCAAGCAGAAAATGCATGGTAAATATAAAGAATAATAAAGCTTCATGTTTTCATGAACCGCATGCAAGTTGGGAAATATGTAAACAATTGGAAGTAAGTGGCTACATGCATTTTGTTTTTGATCAGCACAGCTACACGCATTATTGCCAGGCACCAACATGAAAATATCAACCAGTCATAACAATATTACTGAAGTTTTGCCAAAAGGCCATTACCCAATCATGGTCTCAGTTATATGCGGTCTTGGAAGGGGTAGACCGGATGCAGTCCTAACCTTTGGCATTTTTGCACTCTCAGACTAAAACCTGCATTCTTACGCTTGCCAGACCAAGACTTTACTATTACACCAAGTAATGGACACTATATTACTGAAAGCTATGAGACCACTTAAATAAAACCCAATGTATAAGACAAGAATATCAAACTAGAGGACACAATTGTCAATTTGAAGTCAATGCACAATAACAGAGATCCATCTTTTTTCTGTCACTAAGAAATTCAAACTTCATATCCAGATCAACCTTTTTCTTGGATGTGTCTCCACAGATTTTGAAAGTCTAATATATTAAATGGAACATATGAAAAATATAAAAGGTAAAAGAAACTGAAAGTTACCTAAATGAACTTGTGTGCATTCCAAATTTTAATTTTCTTCCTTTTTTGTATTACATTTAGAAAGATAAAAGCAAAATGAAATTCTTCAACATTTAAAGTTAAAATGAACCATCAATAGATGAAGTATCGCAGATAAAGGTCTTGTATTCAGATCTATATATGCTATCGGATGTCAATTACTAAAACAAATAAATAATGTATATTTAAGATTATAAATGGCAAACAATGCAAGCATATCCATGTCTTTCTTGGTATCATTACAAATTCAATCTTCAGCTTGATTTCCCTCAGAAATTGATAATTTCAGATAATAATTTCAACTCTTCAAGTAGGCAATCATTTCTCTTCCCTTGCGAAGAAACACCATTTTTACACTATCAGGTTATGGCTTGAACTGCTATTAAGCATGAAATACCGATTATTAAAGCTCCACTATACTTTGCAAGTGTTAACAATCATCTCAGAGAGTCAGAGGAGAAAAGTGAAACACCTGGTTTTTTTCATCTGTATCCAGATCCGTAGATGTATCTGTCTGTTGGCTGTTATCAACCATTCCAGAGTCCCCCCAGTTCTCAAAATGCCCATTCCCCAAGGGAGCAGCAACGGGCATTGTCCCCTTATGGAACGAGTACTGCCCTGTATCGACTCCTGTTGCTGAAGTTATATCCGACGAACTAATGTTCTACACCAAGAAAATATCAGATTCTATCAATCTGGAATCTAGCATGCAATTAAGACTATGATATCATATGCATAGAGGAAAACATGATTACCGTGCTTAAGCCGCCAAACTGTGGACTAGTAGAAACAGCGACGTTACTCGACTTCAAACCAAAAACTGAGCCTATGAAGTGATGAAGCGGCTCGATGAAGTACACGGTATTGCATAAACAGAAGCAAGACCTTTAGCATTCTCAAACAAAAAGTAAATACCTGGATTTACATTAACGACATCGTCATGGTGGAATCCAGTAGACTGTTCAAGCTCCCCAAGATCCAAAAACCGAGACTGATTACGGCTACCTTCATCACATCTGCATCATTTTTGGAATATTAAATTCATAAAATAAAAAAAAAAGTATATATTCATACGGGAATAGACGGATTGATAGATAGACAGACTAAAGAGATAAAGATAGAGAAAAATAAAACAAAACCAAAAGCAGGGTAAGATGGAGATCTCAAACATACGGAGAAGGCAACAAATACACCACAAAAAGGAAATGAGAAAACTTGGTAAAAGCGTAAAAATCACAGTCAAATATTACCAGCCAGCATAAACACAAAACTAAACAGAGATACAACATAGAATCTAGTCAATCAGAAGCAGAGTGAGAGAATTAAAGAAATACCGAACAAATGAGGAAGAACAATACATTATGGAGTTGGTCGAGACTTCTACGAAGCTCTGCATTTCTACTATCTCGAAACCATCTCCCTCCTGAAGCCAACGACAACCCCAAGACCACCACCAACAAGAGATATGTTGAAAGGGGAAGGATGAATAAGCATCAGAGACAGAACATGAAGATGACGAAATCTGCTTCTATCTTTTTCAACAAGATAGCGAATCAGTACGGCTCCTTTTTATTTCAGCTCTGGCTTTTATTATTTTTCTGACTCCGGGATTTTAGTCTCCCAATGCATTTCAACCCAACTCTCTCTCTCTCCTCTCCTCTGTGACTCTGTCTCCTTCCCTCTCTCTCTCTCTCTCTCTCCACTCCTCCGTTCTTCCTCTCTCCAAATATAACTCGTTTTAATATCGAACTTTGCGAAAAGTGGATGCTATCGTGATGAGATGACGAAACGAATGCAAAGCACCGTTAACCAAATTCTTTTTTATATTAATCCTCTCTCTCTCTCTCTACTGGATTTTCATTTTAACACAGGCTTTGCTTGAAAGTAACTTCTTCTTTCTCCGTGGCTCACCCGCCAAAATTCCTGCATCCTATTGCTACGCCGTACTCTTGCTGACGTGTCACTTTCTATATCGTCCTATGTATTGTTCTGGCTTCGTACACATCCGAATTCCCATCTACTCCGGCTTAACCATTTTAGAGTTCTCATTCTCGATTATGAGAATCGCCACTTGGTCACAACTAGCCAATCCCCACCGTTGGCTTCATGTTCGTTTATTGGGATTTGACACGTGTCAGTGCAAGTCCTCGTCAGCCGTGCAGGACTCTTGGTCTCTATGACGCGAGCCACTAAAGTTAAAAAGGGGGACGCGGAAAAAAACATGCTTTACGAGGAAAGCCTAGTGAATAGGGAGGTAAGGAACTTGGAATGCGTGGCAAATCCTACTTGGCTTCTATTATGTCTGCCACGTGTAAGATTCTTATTCTTGTTTCCTGGACGACCGCCTAGGAAGAACGCAGTAAATTTGTTTAAACTCTCAAAGGTGGTTTGGTGGTCTACCATATATTACGTGCGGTGACGTGTTCAGTGCACTTTGTCCGAACAGCCGAAGTAATATTTAATTAAAATATATTAATTTCCTCCGTATTTCTTGCATGAAAATTAAGGTAGAGTTTGGTCGGCTCGCCCCATCAAATTTTGAGAAAACCGCAAAAATTGCATTGACATTTCTCGCTGTTTGGTTGTTTTCTCTAAAAAACGGCTCTATGAGAAGACGTTTTTCTTTTCTCAAAGCGTTTTCAGATAAGGTGATTGGAAAGAGGTGTTGGGAACCAATATCGTTTTCTAAGAGGTGTTTTTGAGAAAATGGTGCTGTATTGGTATGCCATCTTATCATAAAATGCTTTCCTTTTTATCTATTTAGTATCATTGCCATTGCTATCACCTAGGCGTTTTTCAATATCATGTAAATATAGCGTTGTTAGCAATAGAAAAAGAAAACGAGAAAATACTAAAAAGGGCATTTTATCAAATACACACCTTTCCTAATTTCTAAAGAATAATGTCATTTTTGAAAAAAAAAAAACAGCATTGATTCCAACAACCCACATTTGCTATGGCGTTGTCGTTGCCATGGCCTCACCTTGAATTAGATGAAGTAATTGTTGGTGGGACCATTGCAGTACATCTAAGACAATGATTTTCTGTTAATTCTGTCCTACTATAAAAGTGAACTTTGATTCCAAACACTAGTTCAAAAATTAAAAAGGAAAAGTAATATAACCAAACACGTCCTAAGCCATTTAAAAATATTTTAGATTTTTTTCCAATTTTCGGACTAATAAATGAAGAACACGATAGGATTCCAAGAATTTACAATCCCTCTCGCTGAATCTCTGACGTGGCAGTCATTTCAATTGCTGGTCCGACACCCGTCAAAGTCCGCGTGCGGTTGACAGCCCAAGGTGTACCTCGGTAGTGTCAAGCTCCAAGAGCCAGACACTCATATTGTGTCGTTTACTCGTTATAGTGCAATCGTGCAGGCTCTTGGACAAGGCGTTCTTGGAAGCCGATGAGATCGTGACTCGTGATGCACGATGAAACCGTTGGATCGGCACCTTATAAGACCATCAGGTTAAAGATTCCCCGGAAAAGAAACATTTGCATATGGGCCCAGAAGTGGTGTAGTCCCAGTCCAGAGTTCCAGCTTTGGGAATTACGGCCCATGCACAGCACAACTGATAATCTGATATCCATGCCCATGGGCTGCTGAAGTTGGGCCCACCTGTCTGGCGACGAGCTTCTCTTGGTTGAATTAAATGATTCATTGTCAAGTATTGGTCCATACAGAAAACATTGTCGCAGTGTTGGCGTACGGTGGATCTACAACCACCATTTTAGCAAACAATTGCCACTGTATGACCGTTCCAGTGTCGGAAGCGGCCTCAGCGCACGACGCTGTTCTACAATTCTGGCAATCTGAGTTTGTATTTTGTTCCTCTCTCTCTCTATTCCTATGGTGGGGCTGCCCGGTCCTTATCAAGGCTCTTGTGGGTTCGACATCTCTCGTCGACCTTTGTCCTGTCGATAGTGCGACCTGGTTTGGACAAAGCGTTATTGGTAAAGCCATGAAGGGTCCTTGGACAACGACTTCACATGTGTCGGAACCGAACATTTTCAGTTCGGGTGCTATTTTGCGGAATCATATTTAGCTGAATGTGATAGCTGTTTTTACCAGTTGTGAGACCAATCATTTTTCTTAAATCAGTAATAAATGCAAATGAGAGATTGAATGGCTGGGAAGAAATTTTATTCCTTGAGTTTTTGTTATGTAACATCCTTAAAAATACATTATTAATTTGAAAACTTATGAAGATGGAAATGATTTGATAAAAATTCACCTAATTGGAAGCCAGTTTGATGATGACGATTGACTTTGGTTATAAAGCAATGGTTTAAAAATCGATGTTCGGGCAACTGATTTTTGGGTCAAACGGTCCTCACATGGATGGCGCATTTTGATAAAAAAAATTAAAGTCAAAACTGTTAAACGGGTTAATGGTTTGACAGCCTGGGTTAGTGGGTCATTGACCAATTCAACGATTTTTTGTCGTAGATTGGGTTTGGGGTAAAATAGAACCAATTGCTTGGATGGTTCCCATAGTGAACAACCATCTGGGTCAATAGCGATTCGAAAACACTGTTATAAAGTTTTTTTGGTATAATGGCTTTTTTTTGTTTGATATCTTCTAAAGAGCTACACAAGAGGAGTAGCCTATCCCCCAACCCAGGTGCAGACGGGATTCAATCCCAAATCTCCTCTATGACCACTAGTAGAACTTACCAACCAGCTGGTTGGTACCTTGAGGTATCATGTCTTTCCAACATCATAGTAGAACCCCTATTAATAGGCATGTAACTAGTATTATATTATAGCAATATTTGGAACCAATGTCATTTCTTGATAAGTGTTTTTTTTTGGAGAAAATAGTTCTGTATTGGTACAACTTTTTAGAAAAAAAGATGTTTATTTTTATTTTTTTGTCTGAGACCATTGTTGATTATTGCCACATGTGCATTTTTCAATGCCACATTAACATATTGTTGCTAGCAATGTTTTTGAAGTGTTGTTGACCTGGACAGTTGGACCGTTCGGTCTGGAAACCGTTTGGACAACCGGTTCTGTTTCACCCCTAACTCGTTATTGGGTCAAAACCCATTGACTTCGTCAAAATACAGTTGACCCAGGCGGTCGAACCGTCGACTCGTTCGACCCGGCCAGTGGTTCGCAATATAAAGTTGCAGAGAAAACTTGGATGATTTATATCTAAGATCCAATCTGAGACACTAACTTATATCTGGGATCTAGCACAAAGAGAAGAAGAAGAAGAAGAAGAAGAAGAAGAAGAAGAAGAAGAAGAAGAAGAAGAAGACACAAACTCGGATCTAGGAACTCAAATTTGAGATCCAATAACTCAGATCTCAGATCTGTATTTGTTGTCGCCGCCTCGCCGTCGCCGTTGCTAGTGAGTATCCAATCATCCTCTTCCTCTTCCTCTTCCTCTTCCTCTTCCTCCTTCTTCCCTCCTTCTCTCCTTCCTTCTTCTTCTTTCTTTTTTTCTTTCTCAGACAACAGTTCTCCTTTCTCCTGCTTTTTGGCTTTCTCAGCTAACATCTCTCATGAGGTTTGCATATTAAGTCAAATCTCATATAAACATTTCTCCTAATATGCAAACCGTCCGAACCGTTCTACCCAGACGGTTGAACCGCTGACCCAGAAACCGATAGCTAGAACGATTCAATTTCTGGGTCAATTTTTAAAACCTTAGTTGCTAGTAATACTAAACAATAAAAAAAACACCAATAAGAACGTTTGCTCAAACCATAATTTTTCCGATTTCCAAGGTATGCTCTGAAAAAACACTTTTAAGGAAAATATATAACCAAACAGCAAGCATGGTCTAAAAAAAAAACAGATTTCAAATAAAGCACTGATGTAATGTCATTTTTCACAAAAAATAAAAATAAAAACACATCGGTGCCAAACACTTCTTAAGCCGACGTTCAAACTAACTACATATCCATTAGTTGAAACTTGAAAGTTTTAAGGACATAGACAATTTATTATTAACGTGGAGCAAAATAATTGATCCCACACCCTATAAAACAACTACTAACTTTGGCTAATCGGGTCTTGAATTTAGTAAAGTGCCATCAAGAGGTCTTCTGGTCCTAGAGGGATTTCTAATCCCTGTAAAGTGCTACTGGAGTAGAGGCGTCCACATGATAGAAGTTTAGTGTTCTGACTTACAGAAATTTTTTAGCGCCTAAACTCCAACTGTAAAGTGTGATATATGATTTATCCTTCCAATACACTCCTGCATATTTGGGCTTGACATCTTAAAGGGAATCCCAATATCCATTAGAAACTCACCCACTTTCCACGTGGCAAGTCTTGATTCAGTAATCCTTATTATCAAGTTCTGTTTCACGTGTTATTTATTTGTGCACCATACATGCATGATATGATACCATCATTTGCTTTAAATTGTTCCAAATTCTAATAAGCGTAGAGAGAAGCTCACATCTGCGCTCCACAAGGGACGCCCCACAATTGGGATAGGGAGCCTCACATCCATCTCACATGCACATTTCATCATGCATTACCATGCATTGGAAATATCTCCCATGAATAATAATGTATAAATACGGAAGATGTTTTCAATATATGGTGAGATCACTGAGATGTACCTGTGAGATTGGTGTGAGACGCCCTACGTGAGGAGCAGATCCTCGATGGACATGTGGTGTGAGAAATTGTGGGGAACATATGTGAACTCCGAGAAACAAACTAATGGCCACTATAATTAGTATATCATTTCCAACCAAGTGCATTATAAAGCGAGTTTCAAGAGAGTTCAGATCTGTGCCCCACAGTGCATCTCCATCGTGTATTAGGAAA